TGGATTCGGTACTGTCGTGATTGGGAGGGTTCCTTGATTATGTATGGAGAGTTGTTGGGTTATTTGTCCCAGCTGAACTTCAAGATTTTTTATAGCAGTTGTGGTGTTCCTCTGATTAATCCATGTCTCTTCTTGGAATTGAATATTGTAAGTTACCATCTTTTCAATAGCTATTTCTCATTTTGCTTTCTGAGGAGCTTGTTGTTGTTGTTGATATTGAGGTTGATTCTGATCTTTCTAGGAGAAGTTAGGATGATTCTTCCACCCTAGATTATAAGTCTGAGAATAGGGATTATTCTGCTTCAGAAACTTTATCTCTTCAATTTGTTGAGCAGTCGCAACACAATGCACAGTAAAATCGGGTCCATTACAAATCTCACAACTCACAGTTTGGATAGGTTGAACTTGAGCCACAGGTTAGTTACTTACCTTCATTGCTTTAAGCTTTCTTTATACTTCAGCTTTGATTTGATCTTCCATTTCACAACTTGAGTAGCCATCTTCAAATCAATTGTTCCTTCGGGTTTGCTCACACTACGGTCATACAGTTCCAAATGCTCATTTGCAGCAATGGCTTCAATGATATTCTTAATACTAGTGGCTGTTGTAAATTTTGATGAGCCACCGGCTGTTGTATCAATTAGTTGCGTAGTCTTCATCTTGAGACCATTCACAAACATTTGTATTTGTTCAGTTTGATCCAGGTTATAATTAGGACATGTAATTAATAACTGTTTGAACCTTTTATACGCATCACCCAATGATTGTCCCTCCTTCTGTGTAAAATTCATAATATCATATCTTTTACGAATATACTCAGAGGCGGGAAAATACTCATTAAGAAAGGTCTTTTCCATCTCTTCCCAAGTAGAAATACTTCCTGCTGGTATTGAGTAAAACCATTCTTCAACATCTTTAGATAGAGTGAACGTAAACATTCTCAATTTCTTTGCTTCATCAGCGTGCCCCTCTATCTTGAGAGTAGTGCTCATAGTCAGAAATCTTTGTAGATGTTTGCTGGCATCTTTATTAACCTTTTCGGTGAAAGGTTTCCTCTCAAGTTGGTTGATAGTGCTCGGATGCAACTGGAAATTGGCCACATTCACTGGTTAGTTTACAATTGTTAACCTACCAGCCAGTGTATTAGCCCCACTGTAATCACCAAGTAGCCTCTCTTCTGGTGGAACTCCAGCCATAGTCTCAGTATCTGAGTCTGAACCTGCCAGTCTTGCTTTTCTACGCCACGCGTGTAAAGTTCTTTCAATCTCTGCGTCAAAAGAAAAATTAGCTGAGGATTCTCCTCGCATAAAAATGTTAGACGCAAATTAGTAATAACAGAATGCAAATAATAAAAATAATACTAAATTAGAGTAATAATTTAAAAAAAAATGAAAATAAAATTTTGTTCGCAGAGCAACAAAATTTCAATTGAATTATAGTAAATTTATTTTTCGGCATTCCCCGGCAACGACGCCAAAAACTTGATTGGGAAAATAGCAAGTGTACTATTTTGCCAATGTAGTAATAATGGGGATTTCCCCGAATATTGATCTCGAGGACTGTATAGGAAAGACAAGTCTAAAATAATTCAGTTGAACAAAAGCATTTGGGGTTTAAAAATGGTTTGGTTGAATTATAAAAATATTTGCAAGTAAAAGAGAGAAATTTGACTAAGTGGTTTTAAAATATATGAGTAACATGTTAGGGAAAGTGTATGATCTGACTCAGTAACAATCCTGAATTAACACTGCAACAACTTATTGTAACTACTATTTACTGATTCTTTAGAATGTTTACTCCTAAGTCCTTAGTGAGAAAATCTTTAACTGTCCACCCTAATTCCTATGTCCATAGAGAATTATAAGTGAGATTAAGCAATCAATTATCAAAAATTATTTCAGTTTCTATAGGGTATCCCTAGTCCTATGTGATATCTACTATAGGATGATCAAAAGTAAATCCTTAACAATGGCGATCCAGCCTAATCATTAATCGTAAATCAAACCTTGTTGGTCCGACAGGGCAAGCATTAAGAATAGCTAGAGATCAAATCAGTTATTAAACAAAGGAAATGTCATTGCAATACTAATATCAGGGTCATTACAGATTCAAATCAGGGACACGCCCTAGCCTTGTGGGTTTAGCTATTCATAATATTCCAAGAAAATACAAAAGAAAAACTATACATTACAAGATAATAGGTTTCTTTGATCTTCAATTGCTTCCGCTCATGAAAACCTTCAGTTCTCCAATCACCTTGATCTCCCTAATCCTGATTGTGTAATTCTTCTCTGGCAAAAAAAAAGTCATTTTTTCCTTCCCAAAATCTGTCTTAAATACTCTCAGTTTCAACACAATAATAGGAAAATACCCAAAATATCCATAGGGATCACAAAGGCCCAAAAATCAGAAAATTGGAAGATGAAGTGCATCAGCCAACACGGGTCGTGTCAGCTGACACGGGCGCCCGTGTTGGCTCCTTAGATATCTGCTAAAAAGAATTGCCTACTCCAAACATGCTAGCACAGATCGTGTCAGGTGACATGGGCACCCGTGTCAGACCCCTGTCTAATACACAATCTTCACTCTCTTGGTACCATCCTGACACGGTCCATGTCAGGCCCCTGTTTCACTTCTAAAACTCTTTCGAATTCCTGCTATTTTTTCCGGTTTTTGCTCTAATGGTTCTTGATTGCTTACCTAAACCTAAAAGCAATGGAAATACCAAACCAACGCATAAAATGCGATAAAAGGAAATAAAATGCAACTAAACGTATAAGATAATTAATTAAAACTCATGGTAAAATAACCTATAAAAATCACTGATCAACAGTCATCAAAATCGATTGTTGGATCAGGTAAGGTATAGTAGATGGATTCTGCCGTAAGGTTGAGAATAGACTGAACTCCATATGCAATTTCTTCGTGATTTGACTTTGTATCAAACAGGATTGTATCTTGGAATTTCGTGAAAATTTTATGTTGAATTCCCATAAACGACGCAATTGTTCTGTACTAAAGCCAAAATTAGTGTTAATTGATGACATAGGACTATGGAAGCAATAACATCTCTTTATTGGATATTAATGCCTAGATATAGAGTTAAGTTAGCACTCTAATGCCTAAGTCATAGTCCAAAATAAATGTAGTGAAAATGTAAATAAAAAAAGATATACTTTAAATATCACGTGTGCTAATTATATATATACTCGGGATAATTTCAATTGAGTTATACATAGTTGCACTTTCGAATTCGACATTTTCCTGACCCATGATATAAAAACTATATTCAATAAATTGTAGTATTATATAAAATAAATTTTTTTAAGTTTGAATTTGCATACTACTCAAAACAAATATTGGGCAAGTTATTTGATTCCAACAAAGACACTCGAATATTGAGTTGTATAATTTTAATTGGGTTATACATAATTGAGCTTTAACATTTGTCGGACTCATGATATATATATATATATATATATATATATATATATATATATATATATATATATATATATATATATATATATATATATATATATATATATATATATATATATATATATATATATATATATATATATATATATATATATATATATATATATATATATATATATATATATATATATTTATTAGTATTATAGACACTAAAATATATTTAACTCTTAATTTGTATACTACTCAAAATAAATATTGGACAAGTTATTTGATTTCAACAAGGCACTCGAATGTTGAATTGTATTATTAACTATTCCCATATATATCCAAAGCCATTTCTCGTGTTGATGTCATGCAACAAAATAATCATGTTTTTTTGTATAAAGTTTCTTGGTCTCCTTCTTTCTCTCCCTCTTCTCTTCAAAGTAATAATCCCAATCTAAAACAATCCAAGACAGGTGTATATTATGAAAACAAAAGCCTCAAAATGGTCATGCAATATACGCGTATTATTATATCTCGAAAAACAGCATCGTAAAAAAAGCCCTAAAACCCTAAAAAGAAAACAAGTACAAACAAAACCAGCTGTGGAACTTGTTGCGTAAGTTTCTCGTTGCGTGGCTTCTTTGAGAAGCTCACAATGACTTGTCGGATACTATACTATACTCTACATATACATATACATACATATATACATATTAAATTAGTATAGTGTCTTTTTCTTCGTAACCTTTACTTCAAAATACTCGTAAGTCTTAACCAATTACATCATTTCAACAACAGTAAAAATGTTTCAACGACTTTGACAGCAAGTATAAAAGACGTATTTTTCTGGTGTGATGTATGTTACATTCTGTGTCGGTTCGTATATACGTGTCTGAAATATTATATAACTTTAACAACACTCAAATTTGACACTGCAGCTGAACTCCCAACACACAGAGACACATATCTCTCTCTAACTCAAAAGAGGTGAAACGTCCTACCAAGAAGAATCAGGTTGCCCCATCTCCACTCTTACCCACCACCCTTTCCTCTACTTTTCTCTTTTTCTTATTAATTCATTTCTACATTAATATTTTTGACATGGCATAACCATTTACACACTTATATTCAATTGAAATTTATAAATAAGGTGTATAAACTCATATATTCCATGATGTAGACAATCGTATATACACAAGGAAACTTGGCGTTCAAGCAGCCTTTTTCCTATATGTAGACCCCACTCTTGACTCCTACATTTCTTTTCTTTATCACTTATGCCCCTTCTCTTTGCCTTATTCTCCTTCTCTTTCTCTCTATCTACACCTCTAATCACACCTCAATCATGCACAAATATATTAACAGAAGGTGATTCAGGAAACATCTCATACTATTACTAGCTTTATACTTTTTTTATTTTGTTTTCTTTGCTATGTATGATCATATTCTTTCTTTTTGTTTTGGATTATTATTAATTTCGGAGCTGAATCTCTGATATTGTAGGGTGGTGCAGAAGAGATAAAAGTTTGTTTTTATGCTGATAGAATTGGAGAATCTCAACTAAAGATATCATCATGGCATGGTGCAATGACTCAAATAATCAAGATAGAGGCATTGGACTAATCACATCGAATCAAAGTACTCTTATGACTGATGAAACAAAATCAACCCAAATTCAAACCTTAACTTGTCCCTCATGTGGCCATAACATTGAATTCCAAGATCAGGTAATTTCATTTTATCATTATTACAACTTACAACCTATTTTTTGAAATTTTGATTCATTGTGTTTAATGAATGAATATATATTACTAGGGTGGAATCAATGATTTGCCTGGATTACCAGCGGGAGTGAAGTTCGATCCGAATGATCAAGAGATACTGCATCATTTGGAAGCAAAGATTATGTTTGATGTGCCCAAACTCCATCCTCTTATTGATGAGTTCATACCAACACTTGAAGGCGAAAACGGAATCTGTTACACCCATCCAGAAAAGTTACCAGGTCTTAATTTCATTTTTCATTTTTCATTCTACTTTCTAACTTTTTCTAACGTTTTTATGCATATAATATTTCTAGAAAATTCATATTTAGAATCCCCTATGAAATATACCTTGTATGCTATATGATAGAATTAGAATCTATAAGTTAAATAGCAGAAAATTAAACAAAGACCCTTGAATAAGATATTCTACTAGTCAAATGAATATAACGTCTTGTTTGCTTCATCTTTAATTCTTGCATTATTTGCAATATGTATCTAGCACCTAATCATGACATGTACATCATTGAAAACTTGACTTTCTTTCTAGTATTTTCTTTATTGTTGTTTGTTTTGTAAATAAGTTTCATTGAGATTAAAGCACAGGGAGACACTAAATAAGAAAGTTGTCTTGAATCCTAACTACCCTAAACATTAATCACATGTCAAGACGTAAGGTAACTGCACATAATTATCAAAAGGGAGAAAAAGCAAGAAAGAACAAATCAAAATCATGGAAATGCAAATTTTCTTTTGATAACCTTTTCATATCTTCACCAACAAGCCATTTATGTCAATCCAATATTTGCAATAAATATGCAGCATGCTCGTGTTCCTGTGATATCTTCTGTTATTATGAAACATGCACAAGGTTTTAGAAAACGGCCACGACAAAACGGTACCGGCAGGTGCCAATACCGGTATCGGCAGGTCCTGAGACATGTACCGACTAAAATCGCGAAAACCTTTATACGACCGCTTTTTAAAACCTATGCACTATTCTGATGCAGGTGTAAGAAAAGATGGACAGATTAGACATTTCTTTCACAGGCCATCAAAAGCATACACAACAGGCACAAGGAAAAGAAGAAAGGTCCAAACAGATGAAGAAGGAAGTGAGACAAGATGGCACAAAACAGGAAAAACTAGACCAGTTTTCATCGGTGGTGTTACCAAAGGATTCAAAAAGATACTAGTACTGTACACTAACTATGGAAGGCAAAAGAAGCCTGAGAAGACTAATTGGGTGATGCATCAATATCATCTTGGTAGTAATGAAGAAGAGAAAGATGGTGAGCTAGTTGTTTCAAAGGTGTTTTACCAAACTCAACCTCGACAGTGTGGTGCTAATAATAGTTCCAATATTATTATAAAGGATGCTTATGAAAATAGACTGATGATGACTCAAGGAAATGTCCAAGATGATAATGAAGCTCCTACTATGGATTACTACAATTCTCCTTTCATAAACTATGACCATGTTGGTCATAATTTGGAACCACAACTTATTCCAAACTTGGTTATGCAAGGTGATGGTTCTTCTTATATTCGATTAGCAATGGATGCAAACAAAGCAAGGTTGGACAGAAAGTAGATATGTGATGAAAAACTTCTTGGTAGAGGATTATTAATATGTATAGTGGTGACAATGACTCCTTAGATGTTGATGGTTTTTATTATTGTTGTTGTTATATATATAACATTATATTTATTCTATATTAAATTTATATGTATATGTATAATAAAAATAGAGAAAATGGGATGTACATCTCTGGTTGTCTGATTTAGAAGGGCAAAAAATTTCAATTGTATCATCACATGCTAATATTGAGGATTCGTACCTAATTACTCACCAAGTCAAGCTCCTCACTAGCTAAGAGGTTTTCTTTTTAATAAAAAAATAGGTTTTTGAATCATGGAGAGAGTGGTCCTTCACAACTCGATTTTAAACTCAATCCTTATTATCTTCTCCTCATCTTATATGAATGTATGTGTCGGTGCAAAAAAATCTTGTTCGGTTGCAACGAAGATTTCTTTAAGGAAGGTCCAAAAGCGTGTTTAAGATGACGTGGGTCAGGTGGGAGGATGTGTGTAAAGGAAAAAGGTTGGACAACTTAGGAGTTAAGGATCCGAGACGAGATAATTTTGCTCTGCTTGGTAAGTGGCGCCAGAGACTTTTGGCAGATCAACTTTCACTTTGGAGGACTATTGTTATAGCTAGAGAGGTATTGAACCTGAATGATTAGGTCTCTGGTAGATGGGAGGGAAAGTGGCACGAGGAGGGTTTTTCATTAGTTGATAAATATCTCACTTCTTTTCTCTAAGGAGTGGAGTTGTCTGATTGGCTCACTTCTTCTATCTCTAAGATGGTCATGAATGAGTTACATCGGGTGTCTGATTTGGCCGAATCGCATGTGTGTTCCTTTTGAGAAGTTTTTTCTTATTTTGAATCAAAAGTCTCTAAAGGTAGGAAGAATGGGTGCCTAGGTAGGAGGTGTCTGGGTTTGCAAGTTTAGGTGGAGGTGTAGGTGAAGCTAGCGGGATTACATCTGAGTGAATCGCACACTCAAAGATACAACAGAGTCGCTACCGAACTTTATTTAGTCCCAAGGACAGGAAAAATATCGATAAAACCCAAGGGAAGAGAAACGAGAAAGAGGGTCGGTTATGCGAAAGGAAGGTCCTATCACCTTAAGCATCCGTCGTACCTGACGGGAACCATTTCGCTTACTTCTAGGCTTGGATAGGTTATCTGTCTAAAGGCTTCTAGCTAAAAGAAAGGAAGGGAGAGAAGAAAGAGGAAGAAAGAAAGAAAGTGCTCGCGGAGGATTGGGACTTTCGTGCCTACGTACCCTTATAGTGCAATGAGGAAGTCAGAGCTCTGTAGTTCAAGGAACCAAGGAAAAAAAGAGGATCTGGACGGACCAGAGAGACAGAAGAAGGGAAGAAGGCGGAGGAAGGTGGCTCGCCAAGATTTCTCAATCTTGTGCCTACGTACCCTCATAGTGCAATGAGGAAATCAGAGCCTACGTAGTTCAGGGAACTAACGTTGAGAAAGAAAATGGAAAAGAGACGGTGTCAAAGCCAAGAACTAAAAGAGAAAGCAAGACCCAACTGAGGAATGCAAGAGGAATGGTGTCAAAACCAAGAAAAAGGCAAAGGAAAACTCCACTGAGGAACGGAGAAGCAAGGCAAGAACTTTGCAGAGGAAAAGAGATGACTCCCCTGGGGAGAAAACAAAAGTATGGCGACATGGCCGGAGAAAAAAGGAGTGAAGGACAAGAATCAAAATAAAGGTAAGATCCACGGGGGACTTGGTTCATTAATTGGTAAGCAGTGATTAACCGAAGAAAGATAAGAGTAAAACTTTGTGGGGAGGGAAAAAAAGGTTGGTGTCAACAGACGGACTGCGATGAACCAAGAGAAAGAGAGTATTGAACCAAAGGGGTGTGTTTGACTCTGAGGAGAAATTGGTATATTAACTGATAAAGAATGGTTAATCGGAAGGAGAAAGAAGCAAGTTTTAACTGATAAACGATGATCAACCAACAAACGGGTGTGGAACCAAGTGACAGTTGTGACCCAAAGAATGGTATATTGACTGAACAAGCAGCACTTGACCAAAGAAAAGGGTATTCGAACCGAACAAAGGTTACTAACCCAAAGCTGGTAGTATTTGAACCAAAGAAAGGTTGCTAACTGTAGGGGGTTTGGTGTTTAACAGACAGACTGTGATTAACCAAAAAGAATGAGTGATTAACCCAAAAGAAGGTGATTAACTCAAAAGAAACTCAGTATCTTAACAGAAAAACTGTGGTTAATTGAGAAAAAGGGTGATTGACTCAAACAGGCCGAGTGTAATTGACCAAAAAGGTGGGTGATTAACCAAGAGAAGGTGACTAACCCAAGGAAAAGCTGGTTTTAACGGGCAGACCATGATCAACCAAAGATTGCGTGATTAGCCGGAAAAAGGCGATTAACCCAAAGAAAGTTCAGTATTAACAGACGGACTGTGATTAACTGAGGAAAAGAGGACTAGTGTTTAACTGACAGGCAGTGATTAACCAAACAAGAAGAAGAGAGAACCAAGAGAAGGTTGTGAACTCCGATGTGGATTAGGTTTTAATAGGATTACTATGTTAACCGTAGAAGAAAGACCGACTTCGCTGGGGGAAAAGAGAATTGGCTTTAACCAAAGAACGGTTGAATAGTCAAGGAAAGAAGTGATTACAAAAATCTGGGGAACCAAGAATGGGTTGGCCTCAAGAGAAAAGAGTGTTGAATTGAAAGGAGGAAGTCACTTCTAAAGAGGAGATAAGGGTGCAAGTGATCAAAGATCGACTTGACTGGAGAAAGCAGGGATACCACAGTAAGGAGATAAAGGTGACTATTCCAGGCACAAGGTCATTCGTCCCCTGCCCAAAATAGTCAGAATGAGTGTAGGAATTATCCACTCTCATTCCTTCTCTAACACCAAAGTGCGGTGCAAGAAATGAACGGACAGCACAACGGCGCCAAGTTTGTTCAGTGCTCCAATGAATTGCGAATCTTCAACTCGACGGGGGAAAAGAGAAGACAAAATTATAGATGATCCAAAGGAGAAGGAAAGAGGAAGGATTGACTAATTAAAACGAAGTTTCGATTAATCAATCAAAAGGGGAAGATGCTAACAATTTTTCAAAGGGATGAAAAGTCGTTGAAGCAAAGGATGAATTATTGATTGTACAAGATTAAGTTCATTCCAAAGAGGAACAAAACTTAATGCAAACATGTATAGAAGTGTAAAACAGTACCAAATGCAATTTTAGTATGCATCACGAATCATGTAGCATGTGATCAAAGAATGTGCAAGAAAGACCGTGATCATACAATGTCAAAAATGCAAATAATCGAGAATCGATAAATCACATATTGAAAATTTGCATACATGCTGCAAACAAAAGGTGAATAGCTTATAAAACATCCACAAATACCAAGCATATCAAGCCATGGAAGTTACATGAGGAAAGAATAGCAAACAAGCTTGAAAATAGGCAAAAATGACATTCTGTCACTGTGGTAACCGAATACCACATGTAGGTAATCGGTTACCTGCTTAAAAATGACAAAATCACGTGAAAATTGTGCAGGGTAACCGATTACCACATACAGGTAACCAGATACCATTGTAACAGTGGCAGAAACAACTTTTGAAAAAACACTTTCAGCAACCAAAACACTTATCCAATCATCCACATGCTATGATTAACATTTGAGCATGAAAAATGAAGTTCAAAATCACTTAGGCATCAATTGAAAGCATTAAATATGAATATCAAAGATCAAACAATCACATGATCAATCAACACCGGAAAATGATCGAACTACATCGTAAACGCGCGAAAGTGATCAAAACAGTAAATCAAGTGCGAATTACCAACCTACAAGGCGGAAGATTGCCTTAGTGATTGTTGCTATTGATATGTGGTGAGAAATAAGCAAAGAAAACCATAGAATTCCAAGCTTGAGATCAAATCGTAGAGAAATCGATAACGCGATAAATGCTCTAAATACCGATTTGCAACGAAGAAGCTTGAGATGATTACTTGAATTGGAGAAGAACTACTGTAAATCCAGAAATCCAAGTAGGAATATGGTGGAATGAGGTTTATCTTAAGAGAATAACAATTTCTATGTGAATATTGTTACACTATAATGGTGGAAATTGAGCTTTTGTGAGGGTTTTTGGGAGAGGATGAAGATGAATATGAAAATGTTGTAGAAAATTCAGAGAGAATGTGAGAGAATTGAGAGTGAAGAATGTGGAGATTGAGAGAAATGATTGAACCCCCTTGTAAAATGGTGGTGATTTTCTTAAATAGAGTTTTGCTTCGGAGTTTCTAGGTTCGAAGTGAGCTTTGGATATAGCCTTGGAACTAGCCTTGGAGTTAGTTAGCCCCAACCCATTGAGTTGGAGGTTAACTCAGTTAGTTAGGTAGTTGATTCAGTAACCATCCCAATGCAAACTTGAATCTAAGGGCTCACATGCTTGGGAATGAAGCAACATGGCGGTCTTAACCCAAATTGATGTATTGGAGCAAATGCCTTGAAGTGTCTTGAAAGGTCTTGAATTGTCTAGAGATGTCTATAATGTTCCACACAATACTAGAACCAAGTAGACCCTCAAAATGTAGAGTGAAAGTGGTGTCACAAAAAATGCAGCAAAAACTGCATTTTTACACAGGGTAACCGGTTACCCTAAAGTGGTAATCGATTACTGTAACACCTTTTTCTACCCCACAAAATAAAAGGCAAAATATTCACATTTATCAGAGTAAAATTTTAAATTCAAAAAAATTATCTTAAAGGGCGTACATTTCCCAATAAATCAAATATAAGTCAAAGCCCCGTAAACAACGGGTTTTCTCAAAGGATATCAAAAATTGTAGCGGAACTCAAAAAGGCATAATCCAAAGTTTTCCTTATACGGGAACATAATCAAAATAACCAAATCAAATAAAATAAGGTTTGACTCAAAGACCCCAACCCGATGTTACACTATCAGAGCATGACCCTCTAAGTCAACCACAATGGCTAACGGCCCAAAAATTCAAA